AATCACTCTGCACTGGTACTAAACTTACAAAGCAAAACTTTTAAACATCATTCCTTAGCTTGGTGGCCTCTATATGTATTGATCAGCAGTCTCTATCCCAGGGGGTCTCCAAACCTGACAACTTTAAGACTTGCGGACTTCAATTCCCATGGCTGGCTGGGGAATTCTGGGAATTGAAGTCCACAAATTTTTAAGTTGCCAAGTTTGGAGATCCCTGCTCTATCCCTAGCAATTAAGGGAAATGTGATCAAAATTAAGAACACCTGCTCTTGACGATTTATCCTACCGTTCAATACCAACGAGCTTTTATCCATTTTTAAGAGGAACAATTTCAGGAATACAATTCATACCTCTGGACTTCTTCTCTACCACTTCCTCTAATTTATCTCCATAACTGAATATCTGAAAAACCGATTACCAATTCCTTGGGAAATATACCAATATTTCTGGGCCTATACACTGATTATTGCATTCTGTATTCGAAAGAGAGAGTGAAGGAGGAGGAGGGGTGGAGAGAGCTTTGAATACCTGTAATGGTTGGTTCTCTGTGCAGGTCACCTCTGGTTTGACTGATGGCTCCCAGGGTTTCACATAAACTAAGGCATGGCAGGACATCAGTTCCTGTCAGCCAAACAAAACAGAAACGCAAACGCTCATTTCTTGTGAAATATTGGCATAAAAATAAAATACAGTGTAGAATAATTCTGTTTTGACTGGCATTTTGGAAAAATGTTCTCTTTCCCCAAATGCTGATCATTTTTAAAATTTGTTTTCTGAATAGTGTTTTTTATCTATGATTTCTTTCTTCGGGGAACAGGAATTCATTCAAAACATTGAGGCAAGGAGTATAAATTAAAGCCATACAATCATGACCTACATCTGTGTATATGTGAGTGCGCATGTGTGTGCACGCATGCAAAAAAACTCATTCCAGTGTGGGATCTTGGGCTTTCCAACTGATTCAACAGTAAGTTGGGACAAACTGGAAGATAGACCTACTTCACTTAATTATAATCCAATATTAAACCAAATAGTAAGTCTAGGGTAGGCTGTGCTGGCTCAGGAATTCTGGGAGTTGAAGTCCACAAGTCATAAAAGAACCAAGTTTGCCTACCCTTTGTCTAGGCAGATTAAAGTGGGCATATTGGGTGAATGAGGCCATCCTTTTAATCTTATGGTTTGTTTGGGCACCAGCGTTTTGTTAACTTGTGTTTAGATCTTGAGTAGACTTACTTACATCACATTGTCTTAGCAGAAAGATTATCTCAAGATTATCTCAAGGCTATGCATCCATAGGGAAATGCAACGTTTCCCACCAATGTTCTGTTTCAAGAATCTGCTTTAAAATTAACTGATTCCGTTAAGTAAAATATTCCTCTTGAACTAATCCTAGTATTTTACCCCGCCTTTCACAGCAGTACAGTTCTCATCTGGCTTCTCAACTTCAGTCTTGGAGCAATTTGTTCTCTGAGCTTTAAAGTCAATTCGATATACGTGTCCAACTAGCATCTGAAATTCAAGGAGAAAAATGATTAGCAACTGTATTTAGACTGGATGCTGAATAGCATAAACCCACAAAGAACAACAAAAAAACTTGGCTTGCTGTCTGGTTAGCTCATGTTGCATTCAATGGCCCCAAGGACCCATTCTTTCTCTAGGATTCTAATAAAAACAAGCAAGTAAAATGACCAAGGAAAGATGTGCTGCAGCTGCCAAAAAAGCCAACATAGTGCTGGGCTGCGTTAACAGAGGGATAGGATCAAGATCACATGAAGTATTAATACCGCTTTATAATGCCTTGGTAAGGCCACATTTGGAATACTGCATCCAGTTTTGATCACCACGATGTAAAAAAGATGTTGAGATTCTAGAAAGAGTACAGAGAAGAGCAACAAAGATGATTAGGGGACTGGAGGCTAAAACATATAAAGAACGATTGCTGGAATTGGGTATGTCTAGTTTAATGAAAAGAAAGACTAGGGATGATATGATAGCAATGTTCCAATATTTCAGGGGTTGCCACAAAGAAGAGGGAGTCAAGCTGTTCTCCAAAGCACTTGAAGGCAGGACAAGAAGCAATGGATGGAAACTAACCAAGGAGAGAAGCAACCTAGAACTAAGGAGAAATTACCTGACAATTAGAACAATTAATCAATGGAACAATCTGCCTTCAGAAGCGGTGAATGTTCCAACACTGGAAGTTTTTAAGAAGAGGCTGGACAGCCATTTTTCTGAAATGGTATAGGGTTTAATATAGGGCAGGAATGTCAAACTCGCGACATCACATGATGTCACGTGATGTATTGGGACTTTTTCCCCATTGCCAGCAATGGGGTGGGAGCAGTTTCGACATGACGCATCTGGCCCATGGGCTGTCAGTTTGATGCCTGGTATAGGGGGTTAAACTAGATGATGTCCAAGGTCCCTTCCAACTTATTTATTTATTTATTTATTTATTATTGTTGTTGTTATTTTCTCTTAGAGCAGACATGTCAAACTCACAACGTCATGTGACGTCGCACAATGTATTGGGATGGTTTTGCCATTGCCGGCAATGGGGTGGGCGTGGCTTCTGGATGATGTGTCCAGCCTGCGGGCCGGCAGTTTGACACACCTGCCTTAGAGGCATATAATAAACTGTCACGGATCAAATCAAACCACTGATCCCTCATGCCCAATATTGTTGATGTTCACCAGTAAGAGACTCTAAAGTTTGAGTCAGGAATCTTTCCCATGCTTACAGGAATCTTTCCCATGCCTAGAGCTCAAATTGAAATCTTCTGCCACACAAATATGTGCTTTATCAGACTCATCATCTACCAACGCAATTTCTGCAAACTTTCTCAATCCGGTGTCTCCAAGCTGCATCCCTAGTTGGCCCACCCATCTATTTGGGGGAAATTCAAACATATAAATCATTGGTCTTCCATTACAATATCAACTTTGTACGAGGCCAGCTGAATTGGGAAAAGAGGCAAGCTCAAAAGATAATTCTCTACCTCAAACCGTTTTTTTTTTTAAAAAATCTATGTTGAAATACAGTGGTAGAGTCAGAATTCACACCTTTCCTGATATTTTTGTTATTTTCACAATTTTGAAATAAAAGTCACTGCTGCTTTTAAGGTTAATTAGTTTCACAACATCTTCCAGAGGCTTGTTCAGTTCTTGACTGTCTGCAGCAATCAGGTTGTGGCAACCAGGACACTCTTGAGCAAGAGATCTCTTATTGTCTTCAGCTATTGAAAATATATAAATAAAAACACAGGTTTATGTCGGGTTATTCTGAAAAAGGAAAAAGCACGAGAATGGCAGCTTGCATCTATCTTATTTTTTGAAAGAGATTAATGAACACATTTGGCTGATGCAAAAAATTGTATGAGTGCAAATTGTTCTGTGGCAATTTGGAGTTTGTTAGTGGTGGTTATTATCTATGGTTTCATCAGGGCTTCTAATTTGTGCATATAAAAAGAATGCCTTATTCCATTTCACTATACGGTACTGCCCATTATCAAAAATGGCAGACAGCATTGTCCTTCTGTGAGCCAACAAAGTGCTGAAGCTATGCAGTACTTCCAAGAACCGCTGAAAATTGGTGAAAACAGGCTGTATATCAAAAACATGTGGCATCAACATGTTGCCAGCTCAAGGAAGAAGAACATTGATCCCAATTTCAGTAATATAGCCTGTTCATATTTAAGGGTCGTCCATTCCCTTTTAAACATTGGGGTTTATTACATCTAACTTTGCACATACGGTAGTTTGCACATTCATATAACAAGTGAGTCTAGTCCAGTGGTTCTCAACCTGTGGGTCGGGACCCCATTTGGGGTCGAACGACTATTTCATGGGGGTCGCCAAACAACGCAGTCTGCCTTTTTTCCCCCCTTTTCTTTAGCTGTGCTACTCCCTTTTATTCTATTGGCTTTTGAAAGCCAATAGAATAGACTCTCTTTAATAGAGTCTAATTCTATTGGCTTTCAAAAGCCAATAGGAATTGTCCAGGCTGTCTCTGCCCTGCTGAGCCCGCCAAAAGTCCCATTCTGCAAACGGTGCTGCATCAGTTGAGTAGTCCTCGACTTATGGCCGTTTGGGGGTTGCGGCATTAAAAAGATTGAGAACCACTGGTCTAGTCCCAGCCGATATATGTTTGGCTTGTATAATCTTGCTAGACAAAAGGATGCACAGCACCCTACTCCAACTCTACTCTCCTGGTGACCAAGTCTATTAGGATTATAACTCCCAGAATTCCTTTCCAGTATTCTTCTAGCTAGGAATTCTAAGAGTTCTGAATACAATTTATAAGGTAGGAATGTATAGGGTTGTAGTGCAGCACTTTTAAGGGGCAAAATGATTTTTTTACAGTTTAAAAGTTAAGGTTTAAGGTCACCATTCAGCCCTTAATCATTCTCCAAAAATTCAAAAAGCCCAAACAATTTTCCCTGCACGTTCTATTTCAACAATATGCAATTTCTTATTTTTCAGCTGAGCGATTCACTTCTTAACTGTAATCTGGCTCATGATGAACTGAGTTACAGACTGGAAATTGAAGCTCGGGTTATTGTGGTATCATCCCTTCCTGAATTCCCCTCCCAAGTATTGGTTTAAATCTGGTCACTGATTTTTTTTTCCTCCATTATTATCAGGAACAAAGTAGAAAAAGGGTGAGTTTTCAGAATGCTAACTTAAAAATTTACTTACCTTGTTTAATTTTGCAATTTTGTTCAATGAAGGTAAATTGTTGTGACTCATTAATGTCAATTGCAGCTATGCAGGTTCCAGAGTGCTATAAGAAAAGCAAAAAGAGACATCAATTTTAACTCTGTTAAATATCAGGAGTTGTATAAATCCACTTTCCATTGTTAAGAAACAGAACATATCACTTTCATAGCCTTTGATATGAAGTGCATATCTTCATTCCCTTATATGTATTATTCTATTACATTATCTCTGGATCCTATTATGCTCTTATGTATCCTTCTATTATTAATTGACCAGGAAAGGGGAAAACAGAAAGAACAAGAGAGCTATAGAATGTAGACTATGCCAGGGCTCCTTATCTTTGGCAACTTTAAGATTTGTGGGCTTGAACTCCCAGAATTCCTCAGCCAGAAAAGCTGTCTGAGGAATTCTGGGAGTTGAAGTCTACAAGTCTTAAAGTTGCCAAGGTTGGAGATCCCTGGACTAAACTGTCAATTGGCATCATTTAGAGCTGATCAATGGAAACACACATAGAAACATCTATCATGATTGCATGGCTGGTACTAATAAATAGGCCTCCATTTCCTTGACAAAAGGAACCAATACATCGCAACAGGAAGAAAAGGGATGAGGGCACAACAAAGTATTAAAATTTGTGGGAATCATCACAGGTACTATGATCATGGTATGACATGTTTTTGGAAAAATTGAGATTTTTCTCACAAAAAGCTACTTGGAACCTGTGGCGTCCTTGTTGTTCTCTGAGCTTGGTTGTTTTCTTGCAGACATTTCATTATCAAACTAGGCAACTTCATCAGTGCTAGAAGGGAGTATGTTTTCTTCTTCTTCTCATTTTATATACGGGTAGCTTGTCTTGCAATGTTTGTGGGAGTGTTTTTGACTGGGTTGTTGTTTATTGTAAGATTGTCTTATCTGAGTTGGTAGTTCCTTGATTAGGATATTGTTTGCTTCTTGATTGTTGTTCTGGTGTTAATCGTGCTGTTAATTTCTGCTTCTTTGGGTGTTGATTGCTGGTGAGATCTTTTGATCTTTTCATTTCCTTTTGGACTGTTTGATTGTCTCTTTTAAATCTACATATGATTCAAAAAAGCTGCAACCCTGAGCCGTAAATATTCTCTTTTCTCTACATTTGGAATCTCACAAATCTTTCACCCATTGGGTCACCAATGTTTCACTTATGTTTTTTTTCCTGTAGGCATATACATTTGTGTTAGTGGATATGACAGTGGTGGCGACCCTATGGCATGCGTGCCATCGGCGGCACTCAGAGCCCTCTCTGTGGGCATGCATGCCGTTGCCCCAGCCCTACCTCTCCTGTGGCCCCCTCACCAGCAGCCCCCCCCAGAGGAGTCGCCCCCCCCCAAGCGTGGCCCACGTGAAGCAGCGCAGCCAAGGACATGGCAGCTGGGCAGGGGGGACAAGACTGCCCTTGCACCCCGTCGCAGAGTTGATGCTGTGGGCGGTGGAGGGCGTGGCTGCCATGGCGCAGCTGGGCTGCCTGGGTGATCTGCGGCAGGCTGTTGAGGTGGTGAGCAGCCCTGCAGGTGGGCGGGGTGAGGGCAGGGTGGGCGGAGCAGGGGTGGGGCCGGCTCCAACACTGGATGTTTTTAAGAAGAGACTGGACAGCCATTTGTCCGAAATGGTGTAGGGTTTCCTGCCAGAGCAGGGGGTTGGACTAGATGACCTCCAAGGTCCCTTCCAACTTTACTACTACTACTACTACTACTACTATTATTATTATTATTATTATCATTATTATTATTATTATTATTATTATCACTGGGATATGAGCTTGCAAATATGGTCTAATAAAGCAGTTCGAAAACAAGCAATGGATTGTTTGTAGGAACTTCGCTGTCTTTACTCAAACATTGCAGATAAAGAGTCTCTATATTTTATCATATGTTATAGAACAGATGCAGATAGTTGTTTGGCAAGGACTGAGGTCCCACCCTGAATCTGGCTAAATCCAAAATGGGAAACCAGACAAAAATGTAGGGTTTCCTTAGGTCAGCCAAGCTGAGGCAGCTGCCAGTAGGCTACCAGTCAACTTCAGGAGTGAATTTTTTTCAGTTTCTACACATCCAGTGCAGAGTTTGTGCCCCCCCTCCAAAAATCCTATTTCTAACTCAATAACTTTGAACTTTGCCGGAAGTCACCCCTCATCCTGGACTCCAGTCAAGAAAAGAAACCTAAACTCTCTCCCCTCCCCCCTACCTGACAAAATCTGATTATTTCCTTCTATTGGTCTTCAGGGGTCACGTGACCTTCTCTGGGCCTGATAGGCAGGATTATTATTGAAAGGGCCAGCTGCTCCTCAATGCAGACTTGCATACAGGCTCAACTGTCATTGCTTGGGGGCCGGGGAATTCTGGGAATTGAACTGCACATGTCTTAAACTGGCCAAATGTGAGAAATATTGTTATAGGCAATGCATCTAATTGTACTAAAAGGGGTCAACCTATTTTCCAGAGCACCCAAAGGTAGGACAAGGAACAATGGATGGAAACTAATCAAGGAGAGAAGCAACCTTAGAAATAAGGAGAAATTTCCTGACAGTGAGAACGATGAATCAAACTTGCCTCCAGAAGTTGTGACAGGTGCTCCAACACTGGAGGTTTTTAAGAAGAGATTGGACAACCATTTGTCTGAAATGGTATAGGGTTTCCTGTCTGAGCAGGGGGTTGAACTAGAAGACCTCCAAGGTCCCTTCCAACTCTGTTATTCTGTTATACCTATCACACAGTTTCGCTTTAAGTTTTATATTAATGTATTTTTTGCCTGGTTGCATAATGGCGTCTTTTGCCTCGTTGCATACAGTGATCCTGGCAGCTTCATACTGTAGACCTCTCTCTTTTCTCCTGCTCTCCCCCCAAACTCTTTTTTGTCACTTCAAAGGAGGAAGAATAAATACCTACTCCTTTTGAGGTCCTTAAAAGATCACACTTTTGCCAAGGCTCATCCGCAGCTATTGGACATGCAGTTTCTCTTACTTGATAGATGATAAGGAATGTTTTTCTAGCATCTGCCTGAAAAGAGTACATACATGAGTGCTGTTGCAGTTTCATCTATGTATTTATTAAACTGATATGGCTGCCCGTCTCAAACACATGATTCTGGGTGGCTGACAGTTAAAACAATATAGGAATAAAGTGAATTACGACCAGTGATTAAAAACATAAATAGCATAATTTATGCCAAAATTATGCTATTCTCTGGGTGGCCCATATCCTAGTAGTTAAAAAAAACTGCCAATGGTCTGTGTACTTGCAGCATGTAATAGTTCAAAGAACCTCAGAGAAATAAAGTTGTATCAATATAGATCATCCTCGATTTACAATCATTTTTTAGCAACCCTGCAAAGTTACAGCAGTTTTGAAAAAAGTGACTTCTAACCAGTCCTCACACATACGACCGTCATAGCATCACCACAGTCATGTGATTAACATTTGGACACTTGGCAACCGGCATGTATTTATGACGGTCCAGCATTTTGGGGGTCATGTGGTCATGACCCAGCCAGCTTCTATCAATCAAAATCAATAAGAGAAGCTGGATTCGCTTAACGACTGCATGATTCGTATAACTGAAGTGATTCTCTTAACAACCGTGCTGAAAAAGGGTAGTAAAATCAGCTGCAGTTCATTAAACCACTTTGTTTAGCAACAGAAATTCTAGTCCCAATTAATGGTCGTAAGCTGAGGACTATCTGTAATGGTTTTGTGCAGAGCTGGGCAGCACTTTGGATTCAGAGAGGAAAAGTTATTTTCCTAGGATTATGCAGGTGCCTTCCCGTATTGTACTGTGAACCCTAGAACACACCCAATTTCATTATTTATCTTTTATTGTTTTACCTATATATAAAATACGAAGAGAAATAGAAATGGGAAATTAGGGGGAGAAAAAAGAGAGGGGAGAAGAAAATGTAAGGTACAAGGGAAAAAAGAAAAAAAAAAGGCATTGACTTCTGACTCTTTTTTAGCACAAGATAAAAACACTCCAGCCTCAACTTTTTGCTTTTACACGTTAGTATATAACTAGCCATTTCTATACCGACAAATCTATATAACTGACAAAACCAAAGTCAAAGTTTCATTTTTTTCATCACAAGCACAAAATCCAGAAGTGAACACACCCAATTGACATAGGAAGCTGCCATCCGGGGCTGTGTGTGTGTGTACCCACAAGCTCTCAGTTGGACTTCTGACCCTTGAAATGCCAGCAACTCCCTTGGGTCAATTTCAGCATTCCCAATTCATTTCATGAATTTAATTCATGGAAATCCAAGTTAGGCAATGTTAAATGGAAAGCACCAAATGGTTGCATAATATTATGTTTTATACAGCGATCAGCAGAATTGAGAAGGCAGATTATGCCCCAGAAATGTGGGATGGCAGCTCCAATAATTATCCCAATTCTTGGGATTGAAATCCAATCTACTTCAAAAGTACCAGACTTATGAAGGCTGTTTAAAAACATGGAAGAATTGTCCCCTCCCAAAACAAAGATTTTTTAAAAAAAATAAAATGCTTGGTTGGAATGCAAAACCCCTCACAGCTTTTGGAATTACACTGAGCTGAAGTTCAATACTTTTGGATTATATTGGGAAGGATATATTCCAATGAGTATTTATTTGACACTAAATACTCATTAGACTCCTGCGAGTCCCCTGGACTGCAAGGCGTTCAAACCGGTCAGTCCTAGAAGAGATCAACCCCGACTGCTCTTTAGAAGGCCAGATACTGAAGTTGAAACTCAAGTACTTTGGCCTTCTAATGAGAAGGAAGGATTCACTGGAGAAGAGCCTAATGCTGGGAAAGATTGAGGGCAATAGAAGAATGGGACGACAGAGAATGAGATGGCTGGATGGAGTCACTGAAGCAGTAGGTGTGAATTTGAATGGACTCCAGAAGATGGTAGAGGACAGGAAGACCTGGAGGAACATTGTCCATGGGGTCGCGATGGGTCGGACACGACTTCGCAATTAACAACAACAAAAATACTCATTGGAATAACAATAGGTTCCTTTCAGCAAGTCTTAAGGTAGGGCAATGTTTCCCAAACTTGACAATTTTAAGGCATGAGGACTTCAACTCCCAGAATTCCACAGCCAGCACTGGCTGTGGAATTCTGGGAGTTGAAGTCCTCATGCCTTAAAATTGTCAAGTTTGGGAAACACTGCGGTAGAGGATGCTGATGGTGCATTCTTGTGCAAGTTCCCAGCTATGAATTTCCCAGTAATTAGCTTTTTGATGTTACCAAATTTACTTACTATTCTGTAGGCATCAAGGATGACCCCGAGGGCAAATTTATTCCCATGACTTCTGTCTTCATTAAGTACTTTTATTGCTGTAGCCACAGCATTGACAACTTCTGGATCATCTTTACCCAATTCGCCATGGACAGCCTTGCAAAGTCCAATGCTGAGGACTAGCAGAATGAAGACTTCCATACCCAGGTGAGAGAAGTTCCTTCTGAAATCTGATGAATGTAGGAAGGGGAGAAAGAGCTTCAAATATAACTGTTGGGACATATCTTCCTAACGGAGATCAGAGCGCTTAAAGTAAACAAAACATAGACACAAATGTTTCACGAGCTTAGGTCGTAATGAACTCGTATGTCAGTGTGAATATCCTTTGGGGTTTATTTAAGCATTAGTGTTTTTTTTTAAATACCAAGTTTATTCACTTGCAGTTCACAATACAAGTTGTTACTTTACAATGTCAGGGTTAGAACATACAGTTCTGACTGTAGGTCACTTTGGTTTGCTTCAAGAATATTTTCCACACTGATATTAACCAAGTTTCAAAGGGAGAAAGAATGGAACCTAATCGATTCCAAGGATTGGTAAAGTTTTCTTCTCTGTTGCCAAGCTTGAGGAGATAATTATATCCATAACAAGAGGGTTCAAGAATAACATCCTATATCTGTGCTGATTTTGTAATAGAAATAATGAACACATTTACTTATTTATTTATTAAACTTATAGGTCACCCATATTGGGGACTCTAGGTGACTTACAATCAATAAAAATAATAATATGAAACATTAAAAGAGTAAATAGTAATACTAAACCTGGCTTAAAATAATGAAGATGGCTACAGAAGGGAGCAAGATGCCCATGAGGAAGAGGTGCCATTTTATCTTAGTCCATTACCCACCTCCAGAATTAGGCCCCAAGGCCAGTTGGCAGAGCCAGGTCACCTCGGGGGGAGGGGGGGGGCGCATGGTGTTCCAGAAGCACTTTATCTGTGCAAATTTTCAGTTTACGTCTGCTGCTAGTGATCCCACTGTGCTCTTCTTCATTGCATCATGATCATTTATATATGAACAAACAGGTTTGGAATAGTTCGTTCTGTTCCATTGTAAACAGTTGTGGAAGCTATATGTAATCCAACAGATTTTTTTTTAATTGGTTGTATCCTCAGAGAGTTAACCTGTGCTCTTCCTGATGTTGACCAGCAGATACATTCATCTGTTTCCAGAATTTGGATGCTAACAATATCTGGAAGACTCCTAAGTCAACCAGTTGTGTGACCCCCAAAATTTCCACTAATCTGAACCTTTACATTTGTTTTTTCTTACCTAAGTGTAAAATCTTACTTTCCTCCACACTGCATTTCGTTATGTTAGATAGGACCCAGCGTTCAGGTCTGTTGAGATCCATCTGGAACTTGAGCCTACTTTCTGGGGTGTTGGCTATTCCTGCCACTTTAGTGTCAACCAGAACACAGACATGAGCAGGAGATCTCACATTTTTTCCAACAGTGGAAAATATACAGACCAAAATATAGGTTTACAGATAATCCTTGTCGTACAACCACAATTGAGCCCAAAATTTACTGTCAAGCCCCTGTGGGCTTGCCATTAACGGGAGGGGGGAGGAGGGGACAAGACCATCAGATGGAGGCATCTGGAGGCAGTGGATGGGACCAGCAGCATAGATGACAGTGACAGGCTTTCCCTCCCCCATTCCTGTCTGCTGAAAGGGGGACCCTGCGGAACGCAGCTACGAGGCCATCCCGCCGAACAACTTAGCGGCGCGGAGAAGCGGTGGAGAGCTGAATGCTGAAAACCTGCCTCGTTTCCTTGCCTTACTGCCCTACTGGCGCACACACCGGATACTGGATGGGGGGTGGGGCGGCTCGGAGGTGACTATTTAGAGCGCTGGGAGGCAGTTGCTCCCAGCACTGACTTTGCTTGCTGTTCGTTGGAATCCTGCATGCCAGAGCATTCCAGACATAAACCAGCCACTTGTGACCTTAACGGCTTGTTTCTTGTTCGAGTCAGGGGTGTGGCAAGGCTGTCTGACATTTACGTTACTAAGCGAGAAACTTGTTAAGTGAGTTTTTGCCCCATTTTGCAACATTTCTTGCCACAGTTGTTAGGTGAATCACTGCAGTTGTTAAATTAGTAACACGACTGTTAAGTGAATCTGGCTTCCCCATTGACTTTGCTTGTCAGAAGATCACAAAAGGTGATCACATGATCTCAGGACACTGCAACCATCATAAATATTAACTAGTTGCCAAGAGTCTGAATTTTGATCACATGACCATGGGTCATATGTCAACGCTGCTAACATCGGATGTTTTTGCGTTGACAACAGATGGAAATGTAGCCATCTTTTTCCTTTTGCTTTTAGATTTAGATGATGTTGGGAGGGGGGATGTGAACGAGAGTCTAGACATAACACACCAAACCTAGCGTGAGAAACAAGGTTATTGTAACCAGGACTGATAAGGATTTGGCCGGCTGGAGAACTGGAGAGGAAGCCCGAGCTTCAAGCTAATTGGGGAATGTGATTTATGACTGTTAATTAGAGGAGGGAACTGTGCTTTGATAATATGTGCTCAGGGGAGGGGAATCCAGTTTTTAGCTTTGATTATGCACTGCCGATATTATGCTACTCAAAATAAAGATTCTTTAAGATAAACAATGCCTCAAAGTTCTTTTGAAGAGTTTCATCTGTCGGAACCATGACAATGTGAAAAATAGTCATAAGTCACTTTTTTCAGTGCCGTTGTAACTTTGAATGGTCACTAAGTTGTGAATGCTCCAACACTGGAAGTTTTTAAGAAGAGACTGGACAATCATTTGCCTGAAATGGTATAGGGTGATGAACATACCTAATTCTTTCCTCCTCTTTTCCCTACAACAACAACCCTGTGAGGTGGGATAGACTGAGAGAGAGAGAGTGACTTGCCCCTAATCACCTAGCTGGCTTTCATACCAAAGGCAGGACTTGAATTCACTGTCTCCTTGTTTCTAGGCCAGCACCTTATCTACCATATCAAACTGGTTCATCCTTGGAAATGGCTACATTTAGCCCAGATTTGTGCTTAGTTGAGGATTATAGGTTAACAACAACAACAACAACAACAACAATAATAATAAAGTTGGAAGGAACCTTGGAGGTCATCTAGTCCAACTCCCTGCTCAGGCAGGAAACCTATACCATTTCAGACAAATGGCTGTCCAGTCTCTTCTTAAAAACTTCCAGTGTTGGAGCATTCACCGCTTCTGGAGGCAGGTTGTTCCACTGATTAATTGTTCTCATTGTCAGGAAATTTCTCCTTAGTTCTAGGTTGCTTCTCTCTTTGGTTAGTTTCCATCTGTTGCTTCCTGTCCTGCCTTCAGGCACTTTGGAGAATAGCTTCACTCCCTGTTCTTTGTGGCAGCCCCTGAGATATTGGAACACTGCTATCATGTCCCCCCCCCTCGTCCTTCTCTTCATTAAACTAGACATACCCAATTCCAGCAACCGTTCCTTATATGCTTTAGCCTCCAGTCCCCTAATCATCTTTGTTGCTCTTCTCTGTACTCTTTCTAGAGTCTCAACATCTTTTTTACATCGTGGTGACGTTCCTCCACATAACCTCCTTGACCCGCCGTTTTACTGCAGGGGTCTCCAAACTTGACTGTTTTAAGACTTGTGGACTTCAACTCCCAGAATTCTGGGAATTGAAGTCCACAAGTCTTAAAGTGGCCAGGTTTGGAGACCCCAATCTATTGGTTGTGTCTTCATAGCAGCCAGTCCATCTTGCTGCCAGTCCACAGTTTGAACAGATTGCAAAAGTTCATTACATCACTGCAGCCATCATAAATGTGAGTGAGTTGTCAAACATCTAAATGTAAATTATGTGACCATAGGGATGCTGCAATGGTCATAAGTGTGAAAAATGGTCATAAGTTACTTTTTTCAGTGCCGTTGTAAGTTCGAATGGTTTATTAAATAATAATAATAGTAATAATAATAATAATAATAATAATAATAATAATAATAGAAGTTGGAATGGACCTTGGAGGTCATCTAGTCCAACCCTCTGCTCAGGCAGGAAACCCTATACCATTTCGGACAAATGGTTATCCAATCTCTTCTTAAAAACTTCCAGGGTTGGAGCATTCACAGCTTCTAGAGACATGTTGTTCCACTGGTTAATTGTTCTAACTGTCAGGAAGTTTCTCCTTAGTATGAAATGAACTGTACTTGCACACACACACACACACACACACACACACACAGTGTTACGATACAAAGTTTATTTACCCGCTGTTCAAAATTCATGTGTGCAATTTATAGTGTGAAAGTCAGAACATGTTTACAACCATGGGCGGTTCTGAGAATTTCAAGATCATTTTCTAGGTTGATAATCAGCCAATTTTAAAGGGAGAAAGAGTGGAATTTGAGAATCTTTTTCCAAGGGCTGCTGTTTTTCACTCTCTATTGTCAGTATTGATGAGGTAAGCATGTGGTGCATGATTCAGCAAGTAAAAATGTGATGTAAATGCTGAGTCAACAGAACTAGGAGACTGCTGTGGAACCTGCCCAATATTTTCCTTTGTCAGCCTAGGAAAAACAGTTTTCAGAGCCACATGGAACATCCTTCCCTCAGCATTTTTGTAGGATAAACATTAAAATCCCACCAACAGAATAAACTTATCCAGTTTTTGGACAAGTTCTCAGTATTTGGAATAGATATACCTAGATCAGAGGTGGGGAACGATGGCCTCTTTATGACTCGTGGACTTCAACTCCCAGAATTTCTGAACCAGGAATTCTGGAGTTGAAGTCTACGAGTCATAAAAGGACCATTGTTCCCCACCCCTGACCTAAATGATGAATTTACAGTAGGAGAAAAAAAAAACAATTTAACAATGAATAAGATGAAAATGGATGAATTTTTGGACTGTTTATTTTTACAAGCATAAGCATAATTATTGGTAATCTGTCATTGAGGCTTACTCTATTTCATTTTGTATTCGAGCCTATGTGCAATTTGTTTGAGAAATCATTGTTTTACAATTTTATGACCCTGTGGTTGCAGGGATCTATCTCTTACCCAGATAAAAATCCTTGCTAAAATCACCCTTTGTGGTTTTTTTTATTAATTTCAAGTCAATAACTGAAAGATAAGATGAAGATAGTGTTGAAAGAAAAATCATCAGGTCCAGTCCAAGCCAGGAATAAATAAAATGGAGGCTGTTTGGAAAGAAGTTTCTGTTTATTGAGGAACAGAACCAACAAAACCAATGTGGTTCTTGGATAACTGACCAAATGGAGTTGGGATAGGTGGGCTTTTATACCTTCTCTGGGTTTTGTGTTTGGAGTTGTTCCTGTTCCTGTGCAATTTACTTTGAGCTTGAATGTGCTTTTTTGATATTCTAATGGTGGTGGGTTAATCCTATTATGTCCTAAAGATTATGTTCCTGTCCTGGAGTCTTTGTTTTTCTAATCCCATCAGCTCAAACCTTCTCTGGAATCAGACATTCCATAAGAAGACTCTTTCTACAAAATCCACTTTCTCTGTATGTGGTGCATGCAATCTACTCCTTAGCATAAAACATTAGGATCTTCCTTCCAGATTTTTATGGAAAGACTGAAAAAAACAAGTTATTTTAAAGAATGGCAGAGAAGGACTATTATTGCACATGCAATTATGCAACACCTGAAATACATTTTTCAAATAATTTCCAGAGCATGCATCACTCTAAAATTATATATAAGCTATGCTCTCTGATATTTATCTCTTGTGGTTACTATTCTGATCCTGAGTTAAAACGCCTTATAAATCAGATCAGATAGATAAACTCAATGGAAATGATTGTAAAACAAAAATATATACATATTTATTCAGAGTGAATACTTGCATGTATGACGGTTCCTCCTGAAATAATATACATCTCTGTTTATTCCCATAGGT